GGTATAAGATAATGGTCCAGATTCATTATTTTGCTTGTGGCTCTCCAATGTTCTCAACACCATTTATTAAAGAGACTCTTCTTTCCACGTTATATATTCTTGGTTTCTTTGTCAGAATTGACCTTATATGTGTGTGATTATTATTGGGCTCTCTATTTTATTTCATTAATCTGTGTGTCTGTTTTTATGCCAGTACTATACACTGAGTGGCCAGATTATTATGCGTTCAGAGATCATAATAATCTGGCCACTCAGTGTATATCTTATATAATAAAAGGCAAATTGTCCCCTCGACCAGGAGTTTGACCAGCAGGCAGGCCAGTCAACCGCCCATGTTCCCTCCTGGCCAGGCTGGCCAGACCCCACCCATGCACAAATTCATGCACCGGGCTTCTAATACACATACATACACACACACACAACACACATACACACACACACACACACACACACATACACACACACACATTGAATGGCCAGATTATTATTCATTCAGAGATCATAATAATCTGGCCACTCAGTGTATATTTTTAATTACTATAGTTTTATAATATAGTTTAAAATCTGGGAACATCATGCTGGTGACTCAGTTCTTTTTCTCAAGATTACTTTGGCTATTCGGGGTCTTTTATGGTTCCATACAAATTGTAGGGGGGGTTGTTCTATTTCTGGGGAAAATGCCATTAGAATTTTGATAGGATTGCATTGGCTCTATAGATTGCTCTGGGTTATATGGACATTTTAACAATATTAACTTTTCAAATCTGTAAGCACAAAATATCTCCATTTTTGTATGTCTTTCAATTTCTTTTATTAATGACTAGTAGTTGTCAATATATGTCTTTCACTTCCTTGGTTAAATTTTTTTTTAGGTATTTTATTCATTTTGATGTAATTTTAAATGGGATTGTTTTCTTCATTTGGTGCTAATAGTTCATTATTAATGTATAAAAATGCAACAGATGTTTGTGTATTGATTTTGTGTCCTACAACATTACTGAATTTGCATATTATTCTAATTTTTTTAATGAAGTCTTTAGGATTTTCTATATGTAATATGTCATCTACAAATAGTGAAATTTTTACCTCTTTCTTTCCAAGTTGGATACCTTTTATTTCTTTTTCTTGACTAATTCCTCTGGCATGGCTAATACTATCCTATATAATAAAAGGGTAATATGCAAATTTACCCTAACAGCGGAACAACTGGTCACTATGTTGCACACTAACCACCATGAGGCAGACGCTCAACGCAGGAGCTGCCCCCTGGTGGTCTGAGCTCCCACAAGGGGAGTTCACTCAGCCATAGCCAGGCTGACAGCTTCGAGGGCTCTGGGGCTGCCAGAGGGATGTCTGACTGCCAGCGTAGGCCCAATCCCCTGGGGAGCAGGCCTAACCCTGCAAGTAGATATCCCCCTGAGGGGTCCCGGACTGCGAAAGAGCACAAGCCGGGCTGAGGACCCCCCTCCCCCCAACGGAGTGCACAAACTTTCATGCACGGAGCCCCTAGTGTTAAATAAAAGTGGCAACAGTGGGCATCCTTCTCTTATTCCTGATCTGAGCCCAAAAAACTTTGTTTTTCACACCTGTTCACTGTGGGCTTATCTTTATTATGTTGAAGCATTTTTCCTCTATACCTGCTTTGTTAAGAGTTTTTATCATAAATGGATTTTGCATTTTGTCAAATGTCTTTTCTGCATCTGTTGAGATGATCTTATAATTTTATCCTTTATTTTTATGATGTGATGTATTAGATTAACTGATTTGCAGGTGTTAAACCATCTTTGCATCCCTGGAATAAATTCTACTTGATTATGGTGTATGATCCTTTTAATGTATTGTTGAATTTGGTTTGCTAATACTTTACTGATGAATTTTGTATGTATAGTCATCAAGGATATTGGTCTGTACTTTTCTTATGGTGTCTTTGTATGGATTTTGTATTAGGGTAATTTTGTATTTGGAAACAGTCCCTCCTCTTCTATTTTTTGGAAGAGTTTAAGAAGGATTGGTATTACTTCTTTGATTGTTTCGTAGAATCCACCCGTAATGTCTTCTGGCTCTGAACTTATGTTTTTGATTACTGATTCAATCTCCTTACTTGTAATTGGTCTGTTTAGATTTTTCTCTTTCATCATGACTCAGTCTTGGTAGGATGTATGTTTCCAGGAATTTAGCCATTTCTTCTAAGATGCCCAGTTTGTTGGTATATAATTGTTCATAGGAGTCTTTCATTATTCTTTGTATTTCTGTGGTATCAGTTATAAAATCTGTTTTTATTTCTGATTTTATTTGCATCTTTTTTTCTTGGTCAGTCTAGCTAAAGTTTTGTCAATTTATCTTTTCAAAGAACTAGCTTTTAATTTTATTGTTCTTTTCTATTGTCTTTTTAATCTGTTTCATTTATTTTTTATTTAATCTTTGTTATTTCCTTTCTTCTACTACATGTTGGCTTTTTAGTTCTTTTTCTAGTTCCTTGAGTAAGGACATTTATTTGAGACTTTCTTATTTCTTTAGGAGCATTTGTCGCTATGAACTTCCCTTTAGAAGTATTTTTGCTGCATCACATAAATTTTTGTGTGATACATTTCCAGTCTCAGTTGTCTCAGTTTATTTTTTGATTTAGCCATTACCAACACATTTTTAGAACATAGAATACAAATATTCTGTTATCATCTTTTTAAACAATAGTTTATTTATAGGAGAGTTTGAAAAAAATAGTTTTTTTCTGGTTCTAAGAAAACTTCAAGGCAGTTAGAAACCATCCGCCTGGCTGTCATAGGGAGGAAAGTAGGGGAGACCAATGCAGCCTAAAGGGGGCTCACCGTAATGTTCCCTTCTTCCTATCTTACGTTTTCTCCTCAGAAGTAAACAAGCTAATATTGGTATGATTTTGGTAAGGCATTTGTTTTGGATTATATTTAATAGTTAGGAATAAGAGTACTTCTTGGTCATTTTGGAAGCTAGGACCCAAGAGCTCCACTTCTTTACTTAGAAACACAGTTTTCTGCTTTAGAAGTATTATAACTGATGTGATTCCTTTGAAATAGTTTCCTTTGTCCTCCTGATGGCCCACTAAGGCATTTTGGCCCCCTGGGAGGAACAACACAGGGGTATTCCAGGTAAATTTACATATTTCTAACTAACATTTATTTGATGACTGGTCACCAGCTTGGAAGTATCTCAAACGCTCTGTGTTCTCTGTGTTTTAAAGCCCAGCAGAGTCCTGTGTGTGTGTGTGTGTGTGTGTGTGTGTGTGTGATGTGACTGTAGTAGTCTTATGTTTAAACCTCAAAAAGAAGCAACTGCTTTCCAAAGCAGCTAAATCTGCAGGTCCAAAAAAAAAAAAAAATGAAGGTTTTTTTAACTGACACATTCATCAGTACTGCCTGAACAATATCAATACCACTCCAAGGTATCACGGCATGGAAAGTTATCCACAAATATAAAGTCAGACCTAATTACCTTTAAAAAGCACCCATAGTGGCAGTGGACTTTTTCTTCTTGACATGGGGTGATTTTTTTTATATATTTTTTTTATTGATTTTGTACAGAGAGGAAGGGAGAGAGATAGAGAGTTAGAAACATCGGTGAGAGAGTCATCAATCAGCTGCCTCTTGCACAACCCCTACTGGGATATGCCCGCAACCAAGGTACATGCCCTTGACCAGAATCGAACCCGGGACCTTTCAGTCCCCAAGCCGACGCTCTATCCATTGAGCCAAACTGGTCGACATGGGGTGATTTTTAGGCAACAGAAAGAAGCAGAAGCCACCACCTCTGCGCTGTGGTTCTAAGTACTACTTTTTTGTGTGTTTTTTTAAGACAATTTCTATTTTATTTTTAAAATATATTTTATTCATTTTTTACAGAGAAGAAGGGAGAGGGAGAGAGAGTTAGAAACATCGATGAGAGAGAAACATAGATCAGCTGCCTCCTGCACACATCCCACTGGGGATGTGCCTGAAACCAAGGTACATGCCCTTGACCATCGTCGAACCTGGGACCCATCAGTCCGCAGGCTGACACTCTATCCCCTGAGCCAAACCAGTTAGGGCCTAAGTACTTCTTGATAGACTTAGTGATTACCTAAGCTCTGTGAAGGCAAAAACCTCTTGGACCACACGAGTGAGTTGTAATTTGTGAAAGAGACCTTTCTCATTGTATTTTGAAGATCACTTTTATAGTGTTCCACAGGAACAGCCTTTATTTTTGTAGTTTCCGCTGAAAGATTGAAGGTGGCATTGTCCTGTGACTCACTTGATTCATTTTAGACTGAAATTGTGGTGTTGTAAATATCTCTGGAACATATGCTCTCAAATTCATGAGTTTTTTCTTGATGATGAGCACTTAACATGAAGAGCTAGTCCTCTTGCTTATGGTATTATTTATGATTTAGACATTCTTCCTGGACAATAAAAAATATCCTTGCACTCAGTGCAAAAAAAAATTTCATGACAATTTGATTGTTTTTCACAGAGTCTGAAAATATGGGATTTTACAGAGCACAGTGAATATTTATTTATTTATTTATTTATTTATTTATATTTATATTAAGTATAAAAAACTGGTGATTTTTACCCTAAAGAAACTTTCCATGTATTTTGTTTGAAGTGCTATACTTCAATAATACCTGTTTTTAATCTTTTAATTTCCTCTGTACCCTAATAAGGTTATCCCATAATCTGACATCATTCATGTTTATCAATTTCCTAGACTGATCTTAGCTCCAATTAGTATCCAATGCACCTTCTAGAATATATCAAGTTGATTACCTTTAGCCCCCACTAAACATATATGGCAGAACCCCTTTTAATACCAGTTTTGGAAGACAGGCTTAGCACTTGCCTATTATATCACACTTTTATTTTTCAGAGTTCTGTTTTGAAGAATATAATTTGACTCACATTTTATCTGCACTATTAAACAATATTCTTGTTACCATAGAGTTCTATAGTATTCCTTTCATTAACTTGTCCTCAGCTCCTCACTAATTTGTTATTTTCTATACATTTTCTTTGTCTTTAGGATTATTATCTGTTTTGGGTTAAAGGAATATTTTTTTGGACACAAAAATGCATCATCAACCAAAACAAAAGAGTTCTTCTCCCTTGATGTGTCTTCCTTCTTCTTCGTGATCCTGGGATGATGAGGCTGAAGTTTCCAGCTGGATCTGGCAGTCAGCATCTCTGGGATAAATTAAATGAGCGTACTTGATTGAGGTGTAGCTGGACTGTATCACTGTCTTCCTATTATCCTAGGAGATCAAAGCAAAGCACAAATAGAGGCTTAGTCTTTAAAATATTTAAAACAGATGGCTGATTCTTTTTGGTGAAAATTCGGGTTTTAAGGCAAACCACTTGTTAGCAAGATTTCTTTTTATTGATAGTCAATACTGAACAAATACCATCCTTCCTCAATTTCAAGACTAGAATCACAAACTTTGCATGAGGAGGAATTTGGCAAACCTAGAAAGCTCTTAAACTATCTGGGTTCCTTTTCCGGTGAATGTAAAATAAATTATTCAAATTTTCTTTGAACAGTTTTGGTATTAAATGAAAACATCTTAAATGTTTACATACTGATAGTCATTTTGTTGGTGAGTCACTTTTTAAAATCTAGTATTCATATTGTTACATCTTCCATAAATTAAACCAGGATGTTTGTCCCTGAATTTATGTTTTAACAAATTGAGAAATGCATTTTTCACACTCCTTATCATTGACATCTGGGCCCTAAGTTTACATAGAATAATTCCTTTAAGTGGGCTTTTAAGTTTTCTTTTGTTTCTGTTTTTGTTAATCCTCACCTGAGGATATATTTTCCATTGATTTTTTTTAGAAACAGTGAGAGAGAGGATGGGAGGGGGAAAGCTGAAGAGAGAGAGAGGAGAGAGAGAGAGAGAGAGAGAGAGAGAGAGAGAGAGAGAGAGGGAGAGAGGGAGGGAGGGAGGGAGAGAGAGAGAGAGAGAGAGAGAGAGAGAGAGAGACAGACAGACAGACATCTATGTGAGAGACACACACCCATCAATTGCCTCCACATGCACCCTGATTAGAGCCAGGGATTAAACCTGATACTCAGGTATGTGCCCTTGACTGGGAAGTGAACCTGCAACCCTTTGACACTCTAACCACTGAGCAAACCAGCTAAGACTGGTTTGGAGTTTCTTTTGTTTGGTTTAAAATTGACATAAATGAGAAAATTAACTCAAAAATATTTATTGGGCCCTGGGTGGTTTAACTCATTGGATAGTGTCAGCCTTGCAGACTGAAGGGTCCCAGGTTCAATTCCGATCAAGGGCATGTACCTTAGTTGCAGCACATTCCCAGTGGGGGTGTGTATGGGGGTGTAGGAGGCAGCTGATCAATGATTCTCTCTCATCGATGTTTCTAACTCCCTATCCCTCTCCCTTCCTCTCTGTAAAAAAGTCTAGAGTCTACCTCTTACCTATATTGTACTAGATAAATGGTTTAAAATAAATTCCGCAAGACCCCAAAACAAATACTAAACAATAGATGTTCTCCAACAGAAAAAAAACTATACAAGGTGCAATAGAAAATCCCAGTTCTCCACAAGAGACTCAAGCTTCACAAAGGAGGTGACCTGTTAGCTGCCTCTTGTAGGAGCAATAGGCATTCGCCAAGCAGACATAAGTTTAGACAAAGACACAGCACTTACAATGATGCAGAAGCATAAACAGCATAACAAACTTGATATAATCTTAGTAGTTCACCTTGGATAGTGTGTAGGGTATGTACTAATTACTATTTCTACATAGCACATTACCCCAAAACTTGGCAGCATAAAACAAAATTTGGTTGTCTCAATGGTTTCTGTGAGTCAGGATTCCAGGAGCAGCTTAGCAACTAAGTAGCCTTTAGTTCTTACTTCGAGTCTCCTAGGGGTTATAGTCAAGATGTCAGGTGGGAATGGAGTATCTAATTCCAAGATGGCTCTCCCACAGTTCATGCTGGGGATTGGCTGTTGCAATGTCCTTGTGACATGGTGGCTGACTTCCCTCAAAATGAATGATTCAAGAGAACAAGGAGGGAGCCATAATGTCTTTTATGACCTAGAATCAGAAGTGATATATCACTTCTACAGTGTTCTATTCCTGAGAAGCGAGTCACTAAGACCTTCCCACACTTAATGGGGCAGAGTATCTTAGGCTCTACTTTTTGACGGGAGGAATGTCACAACATTTTTGGACTTATTTAAAACCACCACAGTGCAGGGGTTGAGGTAACAAACCATGTGGCTGGTGCAGTGAGCAGCAGGTAATCAGGAAGACCTTAGTTTACCATTGCGGTTTGTAGAGGTTGGACAGCAAGGAGCAAGTCCTGGAAGCAAGGCCAATTAAGATCTTCTTCCTCTGTCCTGGAGAATAATGCCGTGGGCCCAAATGGGTACAATATGTTTATTATCAAGAAGCTTTGGATCCCAAATTGTTTTTAGTCGTCTTTGTTTTAGAAAATGGAGATCACAATCTGAAAGCCCAGTTATAGTTCTAAAAGTTAACTTGCCACAGAACTATTCAGGTAAAAAGCAATTCAACAAAGCCTGTGTGTTATGCAATTGGTCAAGGTGAGAAGCATCAAACTTGATGCAAGGACATTGGCTGAGTAACTTATGTCTGACCATGGTTATAAGTCAGGCTACTTATCTGGGTCTTGAGTTTTCATTTAGAAAGTGGGGCAAGAAGGAAAGGTAGATGACTTAGATGATCTCTAAAATTCCTCCATCTTTTATATCTGTACTCAGAGTGATGATGCTGTTCTGATCCAATTAGCATTTTATACTTGTTTACCTTTAAGGAGCTTGACTCAGTGACTCAGTGTTTACAAACATTTTAATCAAGTTGTACCAATGTGAAGGAATTTTCACTGAATATTTTCTGGAGCTAAAACTAAGTTAACTCAATTTATCAATTTTTCATACATGTAGTTGAAAATGTCCAACTTTTTCAATATTCTTATTTTATGGTATCATTTTAATAGCAATTTTTCATATTTAAATTTTATAAAGATTTTATTTATTAGGGTTTTTGTCTATATGAAATTTTACTAATTATAACTTTCTGCAACTGTGGATTTTCTTTTCATGCCTACTACCAAATCCAATTTTCTATTTAGCCAGTGTTTTATTTTGTATTGATATTGCTGTTCTTGCAAGTCTTATTCATTGTGAATTGAATTCTTATAAAACAGAAAGTATTATTTATTTATGTTAATAATCTGTGAGAAAAATATAAGAATTTCCTCTCTAATATTATAGTTACCCTGTTTCTGGAATCTCTCTAATGTAGGGATTTGCAAACGTTTCTGTAAAGGTCCATATAATAAATACTTTCTACTTTGTGAACTACACACTCTACTAAAGCTATTCCACTCTCAGGGCTGAATTTGGTTCACGGACTGTAATTTAACCACCTCTGGTCTATTGTATTGCTTATCCAACTCTTCTTTTCTCTTCATTACTTCACATGCCATTATGTAGCCCCCACAATCATTGAATCTGAAGCTAAGTGCAAATGACAGCTTAAGATGTCCTCAGGGTCTGAATGTCAGCTAATTTATATTTTACATGTACTCAGTGCCTCACAAGGATGAACATTATTATTATTCTCATTTTACAAATGTGAAACAGATTCTTGGAAATAAAATCCTATATAATAAAAGGCTAATATGCAAATTAACCAAATGGGAGAACGGCAGTTACTATGATGCGCACTGACCACCAGGGGCAGACAATACAGGCTTCCCCCTGGTGGTCAGTGTGCTCACAGCTGGCGAGTGCAGTGGCAGTGGTGGGAGCCTCTCCTGCCTCCATGGCAGTGCTAAGAATCATTTTAATAGCAATTATTTTGATCCAATTAGCATTTTATATTTGTCCAGAGGGAGCGGGCCTAAGCCATCAGTTAGACATCCCCCAGAGTGCAGGAGGGCACAGGCCAGGCTAAGGGACACTCCCCTCCCCTGCCAGTGCATGAATTTCATGCATTGGGCCTCTAGTAGTTAATAATTATTGAAGAAGTTTAGCATGGGCTGGCCAAACTGATTATTATAATTCCATAAAATACACTATCTCAAAAGTAACTCGTCTTGAGTCTCATAGCTGGAATGTTGCAGACCCTGGAATTAATCCATACAGCCTGTCTCCAGAGCCCATGCTCTTAACTAGTACACTGTACTGTGTCACAGAGTCATCAAGGCAGTGGAAAGATTTTATAGCACATAACATAAGTAATACAAATCTGTCTCTTGTGAGAGCAGCCTCTGGGTAAAAAAAAAGCCTTTTATCATCACCGTCTCTCAAACTGGATGCCTAGTAATTAACATGATTACCAGCGAAGGGCCTGTATGCTCATGGCTTACAGTGTTAGAATGGGTTGGTCATGTTTATGATCATGGCCACAGCCAGCCATGTTGCCTTCCCTGGCACTAAAAAATAGAGATCTTTATGTCCATTAAAAATGTAGTGCTATAACTAGTAAATTCTTAGTTAAGATCATGAGATGCAGAGTCCTACCTAAATTATTGAATAATTTAATTCCATGGCTAACTAACAAAACATTTCATGAAGGAAGTAACCAACACAAGAGCACATAAGGCAAGCAGCCAAACAACTATGCTTTCCTAGAAGGTATAAGTTGGAATTGCTCCAAGAGATCCGAAGATGCAAGAGTTCCAGTTTAGAGGACCCTGGCCTCTGCCAAGCAGACCACACTGAGCGCTCGCACGTGTGTGTGTGTGTGTGTGTGTGTGTGTACACGTACACAAACGTGTTTTAAGTAGCATGTGAACCTGATGCTTTATTCTCGAGCACAGTGATATATGTTCATTGAGATGGGTGTATTATTGAAACCTTCAGGTATGTTCAATGTACAACACTGGGCTCACAGCGTAGTCTGAGATGCACATCAGCCATAGGATGGCTTTACAGTGTTCTTTAAAGTAGTACATGTGGGAGTCTCTTTTCCGGTTTTTGCGGCGCGAGGAACCATGAGCAGCAAAGTC